AATATAACAACGCAGCAGTAGAAAAGTTGTATAAACAAGGAGATCTAATTTTACTAAAGAATGAAGTTGGATCCAAAATTGATAAAATCTATTTGGGACCTTATAAAATCATAAAAGATAAAGGCCCAAATGTTGAAGTACAACTAGATAAGAACATCGATACAATACACAAATCACGTGTAAAACCTTTCTTTGTTAGTTAAATAAGAGAAGAATAGGATTAAATACATATGCCCTATAGGTTAGGGGCATGTGGTGGATAGATAGATTACTTACTTATTAAGAATTTATTAAACGAATATGACAAGAATTGTCTGTTATCTTAACTAAACATTACATTAATGATAAAATAGGTAAAGTTTCATATACGCTTTCATATGTACAAGAATTGTTAATTGGAAAACGGCAAGAATTGTCTGTTTTCTTCATTACTGCTTATATTCAGTATTATATATTCAGCATTTCATTTAAACTATACTTTACACGATAAGAATAAAACATAACATATTATAATAAAATAAGCAAACATTATATCCAAATCGAAACCCTTAGAACATTCATAGATTTAAAAAAATTATACTTAGATCATAAATTTTTAAATTTTATTAGATAGGGCGTGTGGTGGATACGGGCCTTTCTGTGTGCAAGATCAGCATAAAGCGCAATGATCCAAAGTTCGTAGAACGGACGATTATTGTTTATGCTGAGTGCAGCAAAAAGTGTCACGTAGGCACCGACCGCGATGTGACCGAAGCGAGGCCTCTGTACGATAGAATAAAAATAAAACACACTTTGATTTCAAACCTCCAAGCATCATGGTCTTATTGCACCGTCCTTCGGAAGATCCGGAACATCCGTAAAAGTGGATCATCCATAAAACTGTGAAAAACCCGTAGTTTTTTTTCGAAAACTCTTGGAGCTGCGATTTAAGATAGAATTTAGGGTCGTGACATAAACATGGATCCAGATGGCCATGGGAATGTCCTCCAAAAGATCCGGAACATCCGTAAATTTGTCATACTGTGAAACTGATCCTAGAGCTCTGCAGTTCTTTTTTAAACACTGTGATATAAGAAACCACTGGACAACATGTACGGATTTTCAGTATCTTCCGGAGGACGGTCCCATGGCTATCTAGGTACATGTTTATGTCACGACCACAAATTCATTCTTATATCACAGTTCCTAATGTTTTCAAAAGGGCGCTTTTGTACTCCACGAGCATAGTCACGGTCTCGTGACTGTATAGGACCACCGGTCTAATCAGCGTCTTGTAGATAGTCAACTTCGTGTGGCGGCGAATTTTATTCGACCGGAGCGTTCTCCGGAGTCCAAAGTAGGCACGATTCCCTGCCATTATGCGTTGACCACCTCGATTTCGTCACCGTCAATCTAAACTCGGGAGGCTAACATTGATTTCCCTAGAACCTCTTCCTCTCATGTATTTTGTGTTTGATGCGTTGATGACAAGTTCAATCCGCCTAGCTTCAGCCTTCCGTCTGATGTACGTTTCCGCCATCGTCTCAAAGTTCCGTGCCATGATGTCAATGTCATCGGCAAAGCCAAGAAGCTGGATGGACTTTCTGAAGATCGTGCCACTCGTGTCTATCCCAGCTCTTCTGATCACATCTTCTAACACGATGTTGAATAACAGACACGAAAGTCCATCACCTTGCCGTAACCCCCTTCGAGATTCAAAGGGACTAGAGAGTGTTCCCGATACTCGAACAACGCACATCACTCGATCCATCGTCGCCTTGACCAATCGCGTCAGTTTATACAGAAATCCATACTCGCGTATAGTCTGCCATAGCTGATCACGATCGATTGTGTCGTATGCGGATTTGAAATCGATGAACAAATGATGTGTAAGCAAGTTGTATTCGCGGCATTTCTGCAGAACCTGCTGAATCGCGAATATGAACCCATGAATCCCGCCTGGTATTGCCCTACAAACTCTTGCAAATGGTGACAGGCGGCGGCATATAATTTGGGAGAGTACCTTGTAGGCGGCGCTCAGCATTGTGATCGCGTGGTAGTTGCAGCAATCCAACTTGTCGCCATTTTTGTAGATTGGGCATACGACACCTTCCATCCACTCCTCCGGTAATATCTCCTCCTCCCAAATCTTGGCAATTACCCAGTGCTTTGTTGTTCTTCAGCCGACCGATCTCCTCCTCAACTTCTTGAAGACCAGGGGCCGGTAGCCTGTCGTCTTCTGCGCGTACTCCAAGATCTGTTGCCGTGCCACCTTTGTTTTCTACTGCATCACCGTTGAGGTACTCGTCATAGTACTGCTTACACCTCTCAATTTTATGGAGTGACCATTTTACGGATGTTTTTGATCTTCCGGACGACGGTCCCATGGCTATCTAGGTATATGTTTATGTCACGACCACAAATTCATTCTTATATCACAGTTCCTGATGTTTTTGAAAAAAAAAAACTGCGGAGCTCTAGGATCAGTTTCATTGATTGACTTCTTTTACGGACGTTCTGGACTTACCAGAGGATGGCCCCATGGCCATTTGGGTCCATGTTTATGTCATGACCCCAAATTCTTTCTTATATCGCAGTTCCACATGCTTTCGAAAAAACCGTTTGGCTTAATAATAGAATATTGTTATTTTTACAATAGTTGCAGTTGAAAAGTGGCTTATTAAAACAAAAAGAATCCTATTTTGAATTTATATGAATAAGTACTATTGAGCTCTAGGATCAGGTTCATGGATTGACCACTTTTACATATGCTACGGATTTTTCGAGGACCGTTCTGTTGTCTCCAGGATCCATGTATAGAAACCATGACTATATTCCGGTTAATTGTGAACATTTGTGTCCATTAATCTAAATTACAGGTCTTGCGCCACTTGCAAACCCTACAAACACACCTTTCCAAAAAATGTGTAACAACTCTTTTCGCATTTTAAAAAAGTAGACGACTCTTTTTTCAATCTTTTTACAATCAAAATTATCTACAAACCAAAAGAGTTCTAAAGGTACCAAAATTTTTGAAATTCATTAAGAAATGGCTAAGTTGAGCCATTACAAACTTGCCGTTACACGTTTTTCGGAGGCATCGTATTCGGAGTGTTAATATGTACAGCAATCAATTTTACGAATGTTCCGGATCTTCCGATGGGCCATCTGGTGACCACTCAGAGCTAATGACCAGCTAATATATCAACAATCACCATTTTGCCGCATCTTTTATAGATGCAGAAGAATAAACAAATGCTACGTGATCAAATTTACGGATTAAAATTTACGGATGTTTCAGATCTTCAGGTGGACCATATGGTGACCACTCTATCAAAAGTCACTATTTTACTACATTTCATATAGTTGCAGAGAAAAATCAAGGCATACTTTGATCAAAAATATACAATAATCAAGATTACGATTGTTCCGGGCTACCGGATGACCTTCCGGTGGTCATCAGGTATTTAGAGATTGTGTTTTGTTAAATTATTAATCAGCACTACCTAGCGACTTTTCTGCATCATCTTGTTATAGACTACTGAAACCTTCCCCCTCCACCCGATCACCTCCCGGAAATCCGGAATAAAACCGGAACCACTAGGCAATCTGTTCCAATTTGAAGTAGACCAAAATTTCGCATACTTTTGTACTTACTGCTTAAAATTTCAGCCAATTTCATGTTATGCCAAGTTATACACATACAAACTTTGTTGTTCGTATGCCTGTCCGTGGTGTTCATTTGAAACGTTAATAACTTTTCGGGGTTAACTCGGATTCACATCCGGTCTTCAGCCAAGATGTTCCCAATACTCAAGAGGTTCTAAATTCTGCACACTAAGAAAATCGACCAACTACAGCGCCACCTAGAGGCCCGAATGCTGGTTTGTTCCCCCATATACATATTTCTCGCGTAATATTTGAAAAGGATCTATCCTCGTTGATCGATTCTCTTCATCGAGGCGAACCAGCCTAAGGCTGAAAGCCTCCTAAATAAAGCTAAATTAATTCTCTTCATCGACTTTCTCTTTGGTTTACCACGGCAGCAGAAACAAATTTATCGCTAAGCTCGCAGCACAGTTCGACAGAAGATGATGTTAGCTAGCGCCTGAAACAACATACTGAATGGGAAATATATTTGCAGTCGGGTTATTCGCGAAAGAGAAAATCGATAGAATCGATCTCGTGTTGCGTGAGATTTGTCGATTTGTTTTCTCGGTTTGCTCGAGATTTGTCGATTTCTCCCATACAAACTTCAAGCCCAAACAACCATTCCAGGGGGTAGCGTTTGAAATTCCAGGATTGACCTGGTGCCCTAGTCAGGATACTTAAGTAAGTAAGTAAGTATGTTTTGGATTGTAATGGTTTTCTATGAGATATGTAAGATTTTGCATCGGCAGTGATTTTGTGTCAGCAGAGCTTATCAAAGGCCTCTAGGGCAACTTGAATCGATACACACCCCTAATAAATGAGCCCCATGCATGAACGATATCAGAAATGGAGCAAGGGTTTCACTTTTAGTCGGCATTATTGTTTGTTAGTGACTTGTTAGTCACTTTTTATGGTTGTTTTCTATGCGGGCCGACTTTTGTTGGCCTAAGAGCAATCGAGTAATCTAGAGTTAGTTCCACCTCATTTCCACCCTCCCCTCCCTTAGCCACTACTATGAACGGGAGTGGTCGTATAACTACAGTAATCCCTCCATTCATGTGGTTGGTGGTACCGTCCACTGTGCTGTCCTTCAACCAAATGAGCTAATTTTCTATAGATTACTAGTTTATGGATGACACTAATCACATACGAAAAATTAGCGGTGGATGGACTAAGGGATTACTGTATAACTCTGGTCAGAATTATCAATCTTCTTCGGATGGAGACGGGTTCATCGTAGTGGTTAACATTCATGCTTCGGATTGGGGCAAGTCACGAGTTTATGGTGTGATGGATAGATTTTAATAACATGTGATTTATTGGAATGAATTAAGGTAACAATAGTTTAAAATCACTGTAGAATATTCTCATTTAATTTTCATTGTCTTTGTCATCGTCATCCTCATCTTCATCTGCCGGTGTTCCGAATCGAGTTGAGATGGAAGCCAATCTCATCGCGGCTTTGAACCTGGCAGATGCCTTCTGTTTTGCAAGTTTCTTCTTCCACTGGAAAGGAAATAAAATGTGTAAATTAGCTGCCATGACAGACATGAGTGTACCTATTTACATTTGCATCACGTGAAGGTAGTTGCTTGAGGAATTCTTGCATTTCAGGTTTTTCCTGATCAGCAATAGCCAGCACGGAAATACAACCATCGACAGTGCCCAGGACCAGGCTTTTACCATCCGAGGTGCTCTTGATGGCCGTGAGTTCGGCTTGCATACGGTAATTGGCGATCATTTCAGTGTCGCTGGTACGGAATACTCTCAAAGTTTTTCTACCACTGTGGTAGTAAAGAACGTACTCGTCTGTGTCGGTAAACATACAAATCACCGTAAATACACCTTCAGCGACTTTGGGAATGAAAGTCTTCACTGTCGATCCTTTCTTGAGCTCTAGTAGTTCTAGGCCACCTCGTGATGGCGCATAAAGACCAAACTTGCCATCTTTGGTGCTTGTACCTCCCCATTTCGGAATAGAGCGGACATGTTTCCTAGTTTTAATGTCCATAATACTTCCCTTCTCATTGGTTATGACTGCCACCTGTGTGGGCTTGTGCGGAAGAGGAAGCAGAGAAACAACTTCTTTAATATTGCAACCTTTCAATGATATCTTGTGTTCGTGGGTGCCATTGGTCGCATTGTAAACCCAAACCGAGTCCTTGTTATTCTTATCCACTGAAGTACAAACTATATGCTGACCATCAGCTGTCACCACAGCACATCGGAATGGTAATCCTGGTACCAATCGAACGGGATATTCGAAATTGAAAATCGTTTGTCCATCCGGAATACTACGAATTTTGACTTGAGCCATTAGCTTTTGGTCATCACCGCCAGTCATTGAAGCCGATGCGCTCGTAGCATTCGGACAGGAAACGGCTAAAAATTTCTCTCCGTTATCCAAAAAGTTCAACTGCTGTATGCCCGGCTGAGAGTCCCGTGAAAGTACTTGTTCTGTCACTCTGTTCCATATGAGAATTTTTCCTGTTTCTGATGATACAATGTATCGTCCGTCCGGTGTGATCTCCGCGTGAGTTACAATAGCTCCCAAAGGACTGTCCGCTAGCTTGGACAGTAGCCGTCCGGTTCTTATTTCCCATACACCAACGCAGCATCTTGTGACGGTTACCGCCAGTTCACCATTTTCTGAAAGACTGTAAATTTACACCTTTTTATAGCGATCTTTCATGTAATGTGTACAGTAAGTTTTTTTTTCTACAATACCGTGTACTGCTTTATTATATTAGTTGTACAAAATTCCAGTATCTTCCTTCCATACCATATTAGCTCAGGTAGGGTGTCTAACGGCTTAGCAAACCCACCCTCCCCGTGCAAAATAATGTTAACAAAAAATAATAAAACGGAGCAGATTCGAACCGAACCATGGACGTTGAGATTAAGAGGTCCGTGTGTTGACTCGTCTTTCAACGCTTGTTATAATGAAATGGTTAAAGGCGTATAATATCTACCTCATGTAAGACAGAAATTCATTCATAAGTCACGCTTATGAAATTCATATGTGTCGTTCACAAGTCGAGCTTTATGAAATTTTTAAGTTTATTTGCCTCTGTGTACAATAACTTAAAAAGGCTTCATGTGATCTCACGCACAATCTTGTGCATCTGGTGAACTCTATACTACAGCTGTCAAACCCCTAACATTTAGCTTCTATCCAACATATCTTCGATTTTAAAACTTCTGGTTCTATGGGATTTGACGTTTTGGTTTAGAAAGTATTACGAAAGTCCTATACTTAATCAAGTTCCTTAGATTTGAGATTTCATTGTGAACTTATACTACTGATAATACTAAACGAAAAATCTAAATAATGTTGAAACGTTCAAATGTTCCTATAAGAACACAAAAAAAAATCAAAATGGTGCTAGTCTATCCAACTGGATTTAAATGCATACAATTTTGAAAACATAGGGGGAATATCCCTACTGTCGGCATTGAGTGGAACTAATATTGAGCCCATACATAAATTTCGAAGGAAAGCATTTTATACAAATTTTTCACTAGCAACCTATTATCTATTTGTATTATCCAGATGACGCATTGTGCTAAGAAAATTTTGTAAAACAGGAGGTTTTTATCTATAGGCTAACATTAGAGCCATTCCCCCTATTACTGTGTTCGTTCATCATCAACTGATACTGAGTAGCTAGAGCGTTACAGGCACGCATGATCAGCAGGAGACGAGTATGCAGAACGTTTGCGAGTTAAGGCTCTGAACCATTTGGTGTTTTTTTTTAAACTTTTGGTTAACATTTGACAGATGGAAAGTTATCGTTAAACTCTGCTATCCAACTGGGGGGGGGGACGTGCTGTCAAATCAGCCTACTGATCATTCTTGTATGAAACTGGTTCCAAACGTAAACAAACGCTGTAGGTTTCTTATGGCTTGTTTACGTTTGGAACCAGCTATGCGAGGTAGGCGACGATTGTTCGTATTTGACAGCCACCTCCCCCCCTTGCTATCCAAGCGTGGTTATTTCTGACAGACAAGAAGTAAAATTTTGACAATCGTGGTTGAGTTCTTCTCGAAAATCGATCGATCGACAGCACAGGGATTTTCGAACATAGAGAATAACTTTCGAAATGTCACTTTTAACCACGAGTTAAATTTAACTCTGCAAATGGTTCACAGCCTAAGTGTAGCACCCTGAGTGACGGATGTGATACGTCATTAGCCGAGTATGAGTACACACTAAGATTATTTTACAGATTTATGTAAAATTTTACCGAAATCTCAACAGCTGAACGTTCGGTAAACAATTTAACAGTTTTCCTGTAACTATTTACAGATATATGTGAAAAATTACAGGAAATCTGCGAAACTGTTTACCGAACGTTCAGCTGTTGAGATTTCGGTAAAATTTTACAGATTTCTGTAAAAATTTCTAAGTGTGTACCCTTAGTATTGTCGGTACAGTTGGAAACCGAAAAACCCCACTAGTTACTCCTGACACTTTGTATAACGTATAGAACGAGAGTAAAATCGATTGTCGTTTGTGGTCTTTTCTGTCATTCAAGTGTACCGATAATAAAATCTCAATTTGTTCGCAAACTTTCTCGAACGTGTCCTGCTCATAATGTGTGCTTTTCTTCTCAGTATCTTCACTCCAAATAACTAAACATATGATCAGGGATGGAACTTTTTCTTTACTTTTTAATATTGAATGCCAACGTTAAATCCATTTGAATTTTTAGTTAACACATCTTAAAATAGATAGTTTAGTGTTATTTAAATTCAAAATATCCGCACCGTAGAGCCACTCTGTGTTTTCAGTAAAGGTACACTTGAAAACGCTCTCGAGTAGCTTCAGTGTAAACAAAGAGTATGGCTCTACGGTGCGCATATTTTGAATTTTGATAGGGAGATTAATAGTACTAAATTATCTTTTTTAATATGGGTTGACTGAAAATTCAATTGGATTTAACGAAAGTATTCTATATTAAAAAGTAATGAAAAAGTCCCAAAAGAGCGATCCAACTTGTCTGTATTTCTGCGACTCACCTGAGAGCAGTCCACGATTAATCGGTGGATCGCGGCCCGTAATTTGAGAAACGCTGATGTAAGTAGGTCTAGTCCACGGGGATGTGGTCATTTTCCAGGTGTCGACATTTTATTTTCTCAAGGGACACACAAAACACACACATGCAGCAACAGCTGTAAGATACGCAACGCAAACGCAAAATGCATATGTGTTGTTGTTGTAGCTGTTATGGGCCATACAATTATGGTCCAGTTAAGAGTGTACTGTCATATTTGTCAAATCCCATAGTGAGAAAATTTGGGGTGACCCTCTTGGTCTAGTCCTTTTGAACTAAGCCTATGGTGCATTTCCAGACCAAATAGCAAATAAAAAATGGATTTCAGACTCGACCTTCTCCTATTTGTGTGAAACTTTGCATAATTGAGATGCTAGAAACTAATGATTTTTGCTTGTATTTTCATTTTTTATATTAATGAACATAAGTTAATCAACCTAGTAAAGTATCACGTATCAAATGCTAGTGACGGTTTAAAATGATATTCAAGTAGTTTGGAGATGGTAGTGAACAGTTTTATAAACCAGTTAATCAATGTTCAATATGATAATCCCGATCACAACAAATTTCTAGAAAGACGTCTAGATCTCGACGTTTCACGCAGTTTCATATCATTTGGCATGACACTTTTTTTTCGATATTCGAAATTTCATGTACCTTGGGTGATTTTTCGGTTAAAGAAAATTTAAACTATTAATTCGATGATCATTTTTTCCGTACTATCATTTATACGCTATTGTACTTTTCAGTTAAACTCTACAGTGATTAAAAAAATTACGCCAGTCCCTAGTTGAAACTTAATATCACAGATTTTCAAGCTACTGGTTTTGTAAATGGTGCGCAGTTTTCTGAAAAAATAACTTGCTGTACAGAACACTACTGTTTAACCCAATCTACTGTTTATATGTAACTGTTTATATGTATTATTGTTACAAACCTGATGCTGTCAATTTGCAGCTCATGTCTGTCAATCACGTGAACTTGTTCGAAAATATTGTTGATGTTCCAAATTTTAACCGACCTATCAATGCTGGATGTAATAACGCTGTTCCAAGTACCAATAGTCAGCGCTTCAAGTTGCATGATTCTTCCAAAATGCGCATCCAAGACCTTCATCAGTTGCTTCGTTTTGACGCACCAAACGTACAAATTTTTCCTAAAACCTAGAGTTGAGTACTTAAGCTTAAGAATAGCTATCGTTACCTTACCGCACCCCGGCCACCGCATAATCCACTTTGGAGCTGATCATAACGGAGTTTGATTGAGTCATCTTGGTGGAAATATTGCGTACGCCATGAGGTAATGCAAGATATATGGCTTCCTCAGAGATGGGTTCTTCCGTGTCAAAGTCCCAAACGACAAATCCGTTAGCTGTGCTAGCTAGCAAGAAACGATCGTTCTGATCCATCTTGAGCTGAAGTGCCATTTCCTTGACATCATTCTCATAGCGAGGCAAATCGCGCACATGATTCCATTCTGCCGTTTTATTTTCTTCGTTTTCTTCGTATTGGAATTCGCTAACCTTTTGATCGAATATTGATGATTATTTAATTTTGTAATTATATTTATGTTGTCGAGCAAGTTCTGCACAGCTACCTGGTAAAGATTTTCTAGGTAACAGCAGTACATTGTATTTCTATCTTTCTTCATAGTGATAACGCTGTGCATTGTTCTTGGTGGTATTTTCAATTCTTCTTTGCTAGTATACAGCATAAGCCTGGTATCGTTTATTGTTCCGGACCACAAAACTGCGAAGAAATCCGTGAAGGATGTAAACTCCATAACTGCAACATTAATGGAAGACTTTGTTCAACTCAAGCATTCAATGAGAAATCAAAGAAAGTTTACATAATAATTCCCACGCATCCGTTACATCCTCAATTTCCTGTTTCTCGATCAGCGTTCCTCGCATGTCGTAGTAGGCATAACGTAGTTTTGTATGTAAGAAAAGATTTTTGTTCAAAAGATATAAACCGGTAATTGGCTCATCCTCATTGAAGGGGTTGTCTATAATTGTGAATTCACTGGAGAGCATGTTCAGCAGCACGCTTTGACTGTTGTTTGTATACGCAGCCGCCCTGTTGAAAGAAAATAAAGGATATAAATAGGCTTAAAGACAAACTTTGAAATCGTGATCCTGCTCCCTCCAGCTTTTTCGATTCGTATTGATCGAACGAATTTGTTTACGGTCTGGATTTGCAGGAGAGCATAATAATTTGCATGGGAAAATATATGCAAGGCTGGTAGTGAGCCACTTTTTAGTGACATGTTCATTTTTTCAAGTCAGTCACTAATAGATTAAAAAGGTACTAAAGTAATTTTTTTTGTTATCAGTCACTATTTTCAACGTTTTTAGCGTAAATTTATTTCAAGATTGTTCAAATTTTCTTGCAATGTGTAGGTGTTGCCGTGCCCACTGTGCGTACGCAGACGTGAAGCTACCGTCCACTCCCTCGAACGATTAGCGCGAGAAACTGTCAAAACGAAAAAGCACCTGGTGCGCGATACAAGGAAAAAAAGTGAATTGATAACTTTGCTCTAAATACCCAGTAAAATCATTCCGTTTATATTCAATTAGTTCAAAATAACTTAGCATTAGTACCTACGGTAAGAATTGCCATATGAACTTGTGTAACTCGATATGTAATAAGCTTTTACGACAGGTTCTAGATGAGAGAAGTGCGGCAGAGAAAAACATAACCTTATTTTCGGATGAGCGAACACTGAAAATGTAAGTTCAAAAGTAAAACCTTAAAACAACTTTATTAACCTAATATGAAATAAATTTGCAGCTTTGAAGTTGCTCAGTCACCGCAACTATCGGAACAGTGTTTGTTTTACTCCCGCAACAAACTTCAAAGATTTTCAATTTCCCGAGTGGGATTGAAATCGAAATGCCGCTAGTATCGCCGGAGGATGAAAATCACTGCCAGAAGTGCGATAAACCCGACACTGCTGATAATATGGTCGGATGTGACGCTTGCGAAACTTGGGAACACTTCGGATGTGCCGGTGTATCGGATTCGATTGCCGATCCGAATCGGTCGTGGAGGTGCGAGAAATGCCGACCCACAGCATTAGCAGTAGCGGAGGAGGAGAAAGCTAGTTCTGCCGTTACGGCGTACACATCGGCGTCGAGCAAAAGGTCTCGACGGGCACAACTGCAGCTGGAGCTTCTGGAGCAACAGAACAAGCTGAAAATGAAGCGGCTAGAAGAGGAAGAAAAGTATTTGAAGGAAAAGTTCGACATATTGATGCAGCTGGAGGAAGAAGAAGACTTGGCTAGCAACAGAAGTAATGTGAGCGCGAAGTCGAAGCAGCAGAGGTTGGAAAAATGGTTGGAGGACGAGGCGA